ATTAAATTAGGACAATTATATAAAAAAAACCCAATACAAAAAAAAAAAAACCTCTGGTTAATTAATGTAATTTTTATTGTACAGTTAGATATAATATTAAGAATATAGTATTTATTTGTATTACTTTTTAAAAATTATAAAAATATTATTTTAATAAATTTTTATTTTTTTATATTATTTTATTAAAATGATAAAATTTTAATATAATTTTTTTTAATTTTTAAAAGATAAAATAATTAAATATTAATTATATAATAATTTATCTTACCCATATATTTATTTATTAAAAGTTTTTGATAAATATTGCGTAATTTAATGAATTCGAGACGGCACTAAACTTTTTACTTTTTCCAAAGCAGTAGAAAAGAATGAAAGCTGCTTTGTTTCTATCTCTGGTCGTTGGAGACAGATAACAGAGAGAGCTTTTCTGCTATCGCTGTTGTCGTAGTCGCTTCTGCAGAAGGTTCTCTGTGATTTTCTTGTTTCGATAATAAGGAGGAAAAAAAAAGAAAAGAAAAAAAAGAAACAAAGAAGAAATTTTAGATTATTAAAAAAAATTTGTATAAAAAATTATGTACATCGAGAGGGTTTATTGAAGAGAACCTTGTTCTAAGCCTGAATTCTTTGTCAGATTCATCTCTTCACGAGTTCACCTCATTGATTTTGATTCTCTTCTTCTTTCTCTCAGTTTCTTGGATTTTTTTGGTTCGTTTCGAAGCATTCTCTTTGACCCTTTTGTTTTGTTCATTCAAGATTGAATTCTTTGGGCTTAATTTGGAAAGAAGAAGGTGTTCGATAATTTGGAGGATTGTGGTTGGTGTTGGGGATTTGGAGCTAATCTTGGAGATTTTGATGGTGGGTCGGTGCTGATTAGGGTTTTGTTGGCATAATCATTGTTAGGTTTCTGCCTTTCTTGGGAATTGCCTGCTTTTGAGGAATCTAATGCTGGGTTTCTTTGAAGCTTAGGGTTTTGAGGGGGATTTAAGGGTAAAGTGCGGGCATTTTTTTCTTTGTGGCTTGGTGTCCTTCCTCCTTAGGAGTGCATCAAATTGTTGAGTTTTTGCCCATTTCACCGCTGGTGTCCTTTGATGGTAAGTTGAGAATCGGGCTGTTTTGAGAGATTTTATCGGTGGATAGGTGATAATTGGGGTTTTATCGAGTATAAGAGCCATACAACCGGGAATTTTCTCATTTGGGTCTGGGTTGTGTTGCAAAGGCGTTGAATTTTGAGTGGTTTGCTGGGATTTTAGCTTGGAACTCTTTTATCCTACCGTGGTGGCATTAGTTTTTTGTTCGTAGAGATTTTCTGGTGGAGAAATCTGGTTCCGGGTTAAGCAGATGAGTTCCAGCAGCACAACCGAGACTTTGGCTGGTGAGGGCGAGCTTGTGGTTCATATTGCTGAAAATGGGCATTCATTTAGGGTTGGTTGTGTTGAAACCACACTGGTGGGGACAGTTATGCGTCTGATTGAACCAGTTTCAGGGATCAGCTTCAATGATCAGCTTGTTTTGTGCGCGGACAAGAAACTTGAACCGCAATGTCCACTCTCTGCATATAAGCTTCCATCCGGTGACAGAGAAGTTTTTATATTCAACAAATTAAGGTTGCAAAGTAATTCCACGCCACCACCACCTGAGTCAGTTGATTTTCTTGAAGTGGCAGACCCTCCACCACCAGCTTCATCTAATCGCCGTCATCCTTTGGATGATGCTGTAGACCCTGCTCTCAAGGCTTTACCTTCTTATGAGAGGCAATTTAGGTATCATTATAACCTTGGGCATGCAATATATAGACGGACACAAGTGAAATATGAGCATTGTGAGAGGCTGTTGAGTAAGCTGAAGGTGCAGGAGAAGGCACTGGATGTAGCAATGTCCAATGTGATTCAGTACTACAGGGTGATTGACCAAAATTGCTCAGAGTTCGTGAAGCGGTACAAGCAGCAATATCATATGCATTCTGATTTGCTAACAAACTTTGAAAGGGATATACACAAATTAAGATCTACCCAGCTTCATCCTACCTTACAGACAGCTACGCGCAAGTGCTTATTAGATTTTGTGAAGGAGGAGAACTTGCGGAAGACTCTGGATAACTGCAGCAGCTCACATAAGCAGTTTGAGAATAAAGTTTCACAATTTCTGAACCGGACCTTTGCTGAAGTGAAGCAGAAGGCGGAGGATTTATTTTCTTGCGGGAGCTCCTCGCCTATTAAGAAGTTAGAACTAACAATTAAGGAGCACCAGCGTTATCTTAATGAGCAGAATAGTATAATGCAATCTTTAAGGTTAGTTTTCTGGACTTTATAACCTGCTTTCTTAATTTAGTCTTTCGTAATATTTGGTGCATTGCAGTATGAATTTTTCCTGAATTTTGATTGTTATCCTGGAGGGTAGAACTTTTGATCTTTAATTTTACTTTCTTGGTGTATTCCTTCTAGTCTGTTATTTTGAGATTTTGGGTGTTCCTAAGCTGCATGGTTGAACTGTTGTTTTATTGTTTTGATGTTTGTTTGAAGTTGAACTTTGGGGATCCAGAACCTACGCTATAGTTTCTGTGCTGTAGAAATCATTTTCTTTTAAATTATACATGATCTCTGAACTTCTTTTCTTGATTGTTAATGTTATGGTTGTCTTCTTCTTCTTCTTCTTCTTCTTCTTTCTTTCTTTCTTTCTTTCCTTTTTTTTTTTTTTTTTTTTTTTTGGTTTTCTTTTTCTTTTTTGCCTACATCATGTTGATCTCTCTATTAGCTTTGTGGTTGGACAGTTTCATTAATGGTTATTGCTGATGGCTTTGCGTATGTATTCTTGCAGCAAAGATGTTAATACAGTGAGGAAACTTGTGGATGACAGTGTTTCTTGTCAACTTTCCTCCTCACTTCGTCCTCATGATGCAGTTTCTGCCCTAGGTCGTATGTATGATGTCCATGACAATAGTAATCGCCCCAAGATGCAGGCTTGTGAATATGCGATATCAAAGCTGCTTGATTTTTGCAAGGATAGGAAAAATGAAATGAACATCTTTGTTCACAATTACATGCAAAAGATTGCATATGTGTCTTACATCATCAAAGATGCAAAGTTACAGTTTCCTGTTTTCAAAGAAGCAATGGTGCGTCAGGATGATCTATTTATGGGCCTGAAGTTGATCCGTGGAATTGGTCATGCATATCGGGCATGCCTTGCTGAAATAGTCAGGAGAAAGGCTTCCATGAAGCTTTATATGGGTATGGCTGGTCAGTTGGCTGAAAAGCTTGCAACAAAGAGGGAGGTTGAGGTCAGGAGACGGGAAGAGTTTCTGAAAGCTCATGTTTTATATATACCGAGGGATGTATTGGTGTCTATGGGGTTGTATGATACTCCTAGTCAGTGTGATGTAAATATAGCTCCTTTTGACACTAATTTACTTGATATTGACATTTCGGACTTGGAACATTATGCTTCTGAGTATTTAGCAGGACTGCCCTACAAGGGTGAGAAGTTTGCTAGCTTGAAAGGTTCCTTTTCCATGTCAAATGACAGTTCTCATTCTGCTGATGCTGAAGAGATTGGTTTAGATCCTGTGGAGAAGGATGAGGCTGATGATCTCCTTCTAGGATGTGAATTAGTAGAGATAGCTGGAACTAGCAAAATGGAAGTTGAGAATGCAAAGCTAAAAGCTGAACTTGCTTCTGCAATAGCCCTGATTTGCTCTTTGTGTCCTGAAGCTGAATATGAGTTGCTTGATGATAGTAAACTTAACAGTTTATTGAAGAATGCTGCACAGAAGACTGCTGAAGCATTACATCTAAAGGATGAATATGGAAAACATCTTCAGTCTATGCTCAAGGCAAAGCAAATGCAGTGTGTTTCATATGAGAAACGTATACAGGAACTAGAGCAGAGGCTGTCTGATCAGTATTTGCAGGGGCAGAAGCTTGCAAACTGTAAGGAAATAAAGGACTTTGCCCTCTTGGCATCAAAGGATGGTAGTTGCAAACCAGAAATCTCAGGTGGCAAGCCCAATCTGCCATGCATATCTACATTTGAGCCCATGGATGAAGTTTCATGCATCTCGAATGCTAAGGCAGGGCTTTTTACAAGGCAAAATAGTAAAGTACAAGAAGGAGTTGATGAAAATATGATGGATTCCTCTGGAATGCTGAATCTTCGGTTGGATTCATCAATGCTGGAACTGCACCATGAGGAGCTCCAAGTCGGTGAAAAAGATGGAAAAGGTAAGTTGGTGGGGCAGTTAGGCATGTCTCTGACAAACAGTTCCACTGTTGAGAGCATGCCTGCTCCTCTGAATGTCTTACCTTCTGAGACAACAGCTGAGTCAGTTTCAGATTCTAAAATCAGTGGGGATCTTGTGTTGGAGTTGCAAAGTGCACTTGCTGAAAAATCAAACCAATTGAATGAAATTGAAACCAAGCTCAAAAGTGCTCTTGGTGAGGTTGAAATGCTTAGGAGTGAGTTGGAAGTGAGTCAAAAGCTTCTTGATGAATCTCAGGTAGGAGCATTGAACTATTTTTTTGCTCTTATCTGTGTTTTGGTTTTATAGAGAATGATTATAAAATTATCTGGTACTCTTTGTATATTTTTGCCATTATTTTGCTACTTTATTCTGTTTTTCTTACTTTAACATGTTTTATTTTTCAGATTCCCCCCCTTCCTTTGTTTATCTTTATGCATGCATGTTATTGTCAGCCTTTCTAGGAATGTCTACGTGTTATGAAGTTGTCTTCTGTTTAATTTTTATTTACATTCTTATGCTCTTTTAGTAGTTTAAAATTATAGTATTTTTCTAGTATGTCGAAGTGGTGATGAAAAACCAGCTATAATTTACGACACTGATTTTTAGGCATACCATATAAGTGTCTCAGTTGAGTATAGTGGAAATTGGAAAGAGGATGCTGAGATGGATGCATGTTCATAAAGTTTTGTATAAAATGCTTTGGGCAGCATCTATTAAGAGTAAACTAGCTAACTATCAACCTGTGAGAGAGTGTGTGTGTTTGTGAGTGTACACATATGTTAATTGATCCATAATTTGTAATAAAATGTTGAATTGTATATTTTTATTGAATAAATGATTATATTATATAAAGTTTTCAATTTAAAAATCAATGCTTGGGGAAGAAATTTCTTCACAGAGTTGCAAGTCTTAACTATCATAATTAAATGTAAAACTCTAAACATATGGATTATATTTTTAACCTCTATTGCATTGGCATCAATTGATTTAAAAAATTACTGCTTTTGAATTTGAGCAAAACAATAAATTACGTCATATAATATTGCATAATAAACATATAAATTCTCATGAAGAATTGTAATTAAAATGCCACTCTGAAGTTGTCCAAATAAATACCATGCTATTTAACCAAAATCCTTGCAAAATGGCTAAATAACGCAAATGCCATCAGAATTTGCTCATTGGAAATAACAAAAAAAATCACCCTCAAAAAAAGAGAATAGCTAGAATTAAATCCATGCCATTAATATAAACTTTCTTCTCCACTTAGCCTCAAACCTTTAGAATTCAACTTTCCATGAGTAGAGGTTCACAAAACACTTAATTCTGATTATGGTGCATTATTCTGATTTCTTTCCCTGATTATACATTTATAGTGCATTATCAAGAGGCTCACTAAGTGTATATTTGGTGGTCATCCTTGGCTTTGTTCTCATTTCTTTTTCTGGGTGACAGATGAACTGCGCTCACTTAGAGAATTGTTTGCATGAAGCAAGAGAGGAAGCCCAAAGCCATCGATGTGCAGCTGATCGGAGGGCCTCTGAATATAGTGCATTGCGTGCATCTGCTGTCAAGATGCGTAGTCTCTTTGAAAGACTTAAAACCTGTGTTTGTGTTCGTGGGGTTGCCAGTTTTGCAGATTCTTTGCGTGGTCTAGCTCAGTCCCTGGCCAAGTAAGTTTCTTGATAAAGTGCTTCCAGTATTTTCGTTGTGGTAATATATTCCATAAATTGCCCCCAACTTCTTTAGACAGTTTACCCTTCTTTTTATGGGTTAAATTGATTTTATTATGAAAAGCTAGGAGCATATTTTATAAAGAGGGAATCCCATGAGAAGTGAGAACTAGAAAAAAAAGAGTATCCATTATAAAAGAGGATTGGAAGGTTTTGGTTTTTCAATCCAGTTGCTCTTTTGTTTTTGGAGCTGGAAACCTCTTAGTCCATTTTTAAGGGAAAAAACATGTACACATTTACACCATCTATAGGGGTTGCTTGCACCTTGCTTGCCTGTTTGTGTTTGTTTAGATATTCTGAATGTTAAAATGGTATTATTATTCCCACATTGATCAGTTAAGTGGAATCTTTGGACTTAAATAAGATGGATCTGTCCACCTATTGCTAATTGGTTTTTGGTTGAATGATTAATAATGTTGCTTTTTAACCTTTATAGTTGCCTCTGTGTCCCCCTTTTCATTGTCCACTTGTAAGCCCAGTTTGTCTTGCTCTACCAGGCTTACGATTGATGGGGAGTGTTTATGTGGTTTATTTAACATCAATTGATTAAGGGGAACATGTGGAATTGTAAATAACGTTTGCCTTTCCATCTTTTGCCTAATTGTTTAAGACTTTTAGGTTGGATGCTTGACATTGAAGGTTATTTTTATAGAATGTGAGTGGATGGGGGAGTGGGGTTTCACATTGCAAGTTCTTAATTTACTGACTGTCAATATAATGGTTGTGGTTCAAATTACTTTGTTTTCAAATTTTCAGTTCCATTGATGATGGTGAAGATGATGGCACTGCTGATTTCCACAAATGTGTCTGGGTCCTTGCCGACAAAGTTGGTTTCTTGGCCAGGCGTCAAGAAGAGCTGCTTGAAAAGTGGCCCAAGATAGAAGCTGCAAATGAACAGCTTAGGATGGAATTAGAGGAGAAAAAGGAGCTCGTTAAAAGCTTGTATGCAAAACATCAACTTGAAAAGCAGGTAATTTTGATCTCTACATCTTTAAGTGTTTCAATGCATTTGCCTTGCCAACCACAGCTGCACGTATATATTATGTTGAATTAGTATTTATAGGCTGGTTGAACCATGAAAAGACCTTAACAAATATATGACAATGCTGTCAAGGGCAAAGTGTTTTGATATTGTAGTTTCACTTTATATTGACCCAACCCAGTTTTGCAAATTTGTTTTTTCTAAACAAGTTTCAAGTTCTGAGATCTCCCTCACATACGTACCCTATGGTAATATAGAGTGGTTTGATGATATTATTTCAGGCAAACAAGGAAAAGATTTCTTTTAGTCGCTTGGAAGTCCATGAAATTGCTGCATTTGTTCTCAATTCTGCTGGTCATTACGAGGCAATAAATCGCAACAGCTCAAACTATTACCTGTCTTCTGAATCAGTCGCCTTGTTCACCGACCTCCTCCCTAGCAGACCAAGCTACATTGTTGGGCAGATTGTGCATATTGAACGTCAAAGTGTGAAGCCACTTTCATCTACATCAGCTAGGCCTGAGCATGGTTGGTTAGAACCAGTGGATCACCTGACCTCTGACACAGGAACTGATAGATTAACCTTGACTTCTGGCTCAAGCTCAAATCCGTATGGTCTCCCCATTGGATCTGAATACTTTGTAGTGACAGTAGCAATGTTACCTGATACCACCATTCATTCACCACCCCCTTCCTGATCCCTGCTGCACCAATCAGCAAAAGATGTGATGGAAGAAACCAGGTGTTTATACTTGTAGTAGATAAGTGATCATGGATGGAGTTGGAACTTTTTTTTTTCCCTTTGTACAGCTGTTGATCCAATTAGCTTCAATCTCCCCTTTTGTACATA